TCTTGGGGCGTCTTGGGGGCGTCCTTGGACGTCTGGAGGCCATCTTCAGCATCTTGGAGCCCTCTTGGAGGCCTCTTGGAAGTTTCTTGGGCCGTCTTGGGCGCTTCTTGGGCCGTCTTGTCTGACTGGGGAGGCCTCCGGCAAGCCCCGACGAGCCTCCGGGCCCCCCGGGGCCCACATTTGTGGTCGGGGTCCCGGCCCCGGGCCCCCGGACCCGGTGCGCCGTTATATGTATATATACAATTGTATAGATGTAACCATACAAATACAAATCAATCAATATGTATATGCTTGATAATATTTGGACGTACGCACATCGCTACAGTCATGGCAGTGCCAGAAGGAACGCTAAACAAGGAGCGATTCCCCGTCTGACCCCAGCACCTAGGTGCACGAGGAGAGCTAGAGGAACAGCCGCGGCACGACCCAAGGAATAGCGAGCCTCCTCCGAACCCAAAGTGGTCCGCATCTCAGCATCCTGACTGTGCTCCCCAAGCCTCTTCTGGGGTGAACTCTGACCAAGATTTCGAAGCGACTCCACTTGTGGCGACGGCGGCCTTCCGAACGGCCTCCAGGATCAGCAGGACGGCGAGGGCGGGGCCAGGGCAGTGCCTCCTCCTCCTCCTCCTCCTCCACCTCCTCCTCCTCCCCCGTCTTCTCCTCCCCGTCCTCCTCCTCCTCCTCTCCTCCTCCTCCTCCTCCTCCTCCCTCCTCCTCCTCCTCCTCCTCCTCCTCCTCCTCCTCTCCTCCTCCTCCTCCTCCTCCTCCCCTTCTTCTCCTCCCCGTCCCTCCTCCCCTCCTCCTCCTCCTCCTCCTCCTCCTCCTCCTCCCCTGAGCTCCAGCACGAGGTCGTTATCGGGGTGGCGCCCGAGCCGCAGGCGGCCGCCCGCGCGGAGCTCGAAAGTGCGCGAGACGCCGCTCCGCTCGTGGGTGAGCGTCACGCTGCACTGCTCCTCGGGGCACGCCCGGCGGCCCTCGGATCCGACGAAGCGAACAGCTTGTTTCGTTTTCTGCTTGTTGAAGATATCGGCTACACGCGAGAGTGACCCAGGGTAAGAGTGACCTGTGGTGCGCGGCTTTTGGGGCGTCGCGGGCGGACCAAACACAAGAGCGCAAGATGCCAAACATCGCATCGCGTTCGGCGATCGGGGGTCCCCGATGGGCCCGCACCAAAGGTCACTGCGGCGAATGGTCACTCTTAACTCTTACGTGTAATCGAGGATACGGAGGCCAAGAGGGCAGATCACACCACGAGGAACGCCCCAGTCGTCAGCGCGGAAGGCAAAAGCATCGACCCAGGATCTGCGCCGTGCTCGCTCCACGAGTGCACGCCGCTATATACGCGTGCATCGACCTCGCTGGGCAGAGCCCCCGTGTCGGGGCCGCGACGGGGCGACTACGAGCCCGCCGGGACGGCACACGAGCCCGCGGCGAGGCTGCGACGAGGCCGCGACGGGGCGGCGACGGGGCGGCGACGAGCCGACCAGGGCTATGCACGAGCCCGCGACGTGGCCGCGACGGGCGGCGGCGACGAGCCACGCCGGGGCGGCGACGGGGCGACGACAAGCCGGCTGGGGCGACACGCGAACCCAGCTCCCTGGAAAACAAAGCAAGACGCCCCAAGCGCAGGCACTGTGTGGAGAAAGACTGCAACGGCCACGGATCTGAGGGGAAGATGGCACGGGAGCGGACTTCGCGATCCCTATAGCCCTCAACAGCGTCGGCGTCTTGCCCGCAGCCGTCTGGCGGGCCCGCGCAGGTTGACTTACTGCCAACTTCTGTCATGGGCAGAAGCGCGCTGAAGGCGAGGCCCTTTCCGGAGCGCGCTGCCGGGCAAGCGACGCTCCCATGCCCCCGACGCGATGGCTTCTTCATAGCGCAACTCGCCGGAGGTCTCGACCTCTTCCCCGGGACTGGCTTTTCGTGACATCCTTGTTTGGCGGCCCCAGGGCCTGGCAAGGGCCTCGAGAGGCTGAACCCAACAAAAAGGGGTCCGTCATGTCTCTCTCCCGACGCGGAGGGGCCTGGACCTGCCCCCCCACGCGGACCGCGCCCGCGGCGGCGCCGCCAACGGAGCCCTGCCCAGTGGGGCACGAGCTGCTGCGGGAACTCGCCCCCATGATCTCAGTGCCCATTTCCATCTTGGAGTCCCGAAACGGTGCGGTGACAGACCGTGCGGTGACCTCCCCCAAGGCCTCACCGCACAGTCCATCACCGCACGGTCTTGGGACCTCGGCGGCCCCAGTCGCCCGAGACATCCTCGGAGAGGAACTCGAGTCCCAGAACCGTGCGGTGACCCCGAATCCCCACCGACTCACCGCACGGTGTGGTCACCACCCCGTTTGGGGGCCCCCATTTCCGCACCCTGGACCCATTCCCCGGGACGGGCTTCTCATCCTGAGTGGTGCTTGACACTCCCGGGGCCCGGCAAAGGCCCCCAGAGGCCCACACGAGCCACAAAACGTCCGTCGCTTTCTCTTCATGGAGCGAGGGGGTCTGGGTTCCCAGCCATGCGACGCCCTGACTTTTTCAACGAGGGGCCCCAGGAAGTACCGACCTCTTCCCCGGGACCGGCTTCGTTTGACGGTCCTTAGGGCCCGGCGAAGGCTCCCCGAGGCCGAAATCGGCCAAAAACCTCTCGCCCAGGGAAACCAAAAGGTACCAATACCGCTACTCCCCGGACCTCTCTTGTGGTGTTCTGACCAAGATTTCGAGGCGAATCCAGCGGTGGCGATGAGGGAGGCTCAGGAGGCCCAAAAAGAGGAAAACGAGGAGAGGGTAGAGGTATGGGTACCTTTTTTTTCTGATTCTTTCGACGCGATCGTGTCTGAGCTTCGATCGCACCGAGCTCCAGGGCGGTGCTCGACGCCGTCGTCGACGCCATCGTCGCGCGGCGGAGCTGCGGCCGGAGCGGCGGCGGCGCGTCCAGAGGCGCCCGCGCGGCCCCGAACCCTGCACCAGAGCGGAGGGTCGAGGCCAGGTCGGTCAAGCGGCGCTGGTGACAGCCATTGAAGGGGCCCTGGGACACGCAAAGAAATGCACACAAACAAAAGGATCCCCCATATTTTCCCATCTTTTCGGGGTTTCTGTCTTCCCCCCCACTGCCCATCTTTTCCCATACTTTCTGGGGAATCGACGATTCCTTGTGTCTGTGTGTTTTCTCTCCTCCTGGACCCTACAGTCCCAGACGTGATCGCGTCGCCAAAAAAATGAGGACGGCAAACTCTGCACGACTTTCGGCCCCCGGGGACCCTCGCTGGGCCCCGGGGCCGTCCACAAGACGGCTCAGGATGAAACACCGGCCCCGGGGAGAGGGTCTGGACTTCCGGGGACGCCGCACTGACAAACTCAGGACGTCGTTTCAGGGAGGACCTCGCTTTCCCAGACATGATCGCGTCGTCAAAAAATCAGGACGGCCAGTTGTTCGTTATTTTCTGCCCCTGGGGGCGCTTGCCAGGCCTGGGGACGCCGCATTGAAAAAATCAGGTCGTCGCATGTCTGGGCTTCGGCCTCGCGCGGCAACGTGATACTCAACGTACGTCGGATCCACGTCGGATTTACGTCGGGTTCAGGTCGGGTTGCGTCGGCTTCACGTCGGAGTCATTCACGTCGGAACATCGCCGCACGAACGTCGTCCCATGTCTGACGGGCCGGACGTGCGGACGACATGGTGACAGCTATTGCGCGGCGCGCGAGGCCCCCAGGATTTACTCTTAGGCCAAGCGATCCTGCTGATGAATGTCGCTCGCCCTTCTATATGATCAGCACGACATGCAAAATGGGTCGGTGCTGTTGTGGCAGCGTTTACTGGCGCGCCGGCTCGGAGAAGGTGATCAGCCAGCATCGACTCGGACATCGGATCGGGTAGGACTGCGCGTCGGGAGGAACCGCATCGGCACGGAATCAGAATCGGATCGAAGCGGTCGCGCCAGAATTCACAACAACGCCCATACAAGCACCGGGCAGCGTCGGATCGTTGGAATAGAATCGAATGGGATCGAGCTGGCTGGAATCGATTTCGAAGGATTGCAATCCTTGGTTTGTTTGCAATCCTTTGTTTTTTTACAATCCTCGGTTTTTTTTGCAATCCTTCGTTTTTTTTGCAATTCTTCGAATGGGATCGAGCTGGCTGGAATCGATTTCGAGGCCAGATCGATCGGATCGAAACGAACCCTGAAGGGTTGAGGAGGAGCAAGACGACGACGACGACGACGACGACGACGACGACGACGACGACGACGACGACGACGACGACGACGACGACGACGAAACCCCCGGGATTGCCAGAGGCGTCCCTGGCACAAGGTGTCCCTTACTTGTCACACTTTGCCACGCCACCTTGGACGCCCCCCGGGCCGCGCGAGGGGTGCTCTGGATGCCATGTGGACCTCCCTGTGAGAATCTGGGGCCACCTTGGTCGGGTGCGCCGAAGGATGAGGAGGAGGAGGAGGAGGAGGAGGAGGAGGAGGAGGAGGCGGAGGAGGGCCAGGGAGCGGGGGGGGGGCCCCGGGGGGGGGCCCGAAGCACGTGCGGGGACGAGGGGGGGCCAGGGGTCGTGTTGAAAAAAAGGGGCGAAGAAGAGGAGGGGCCATGGCATCTCGGAGATATCTCGTGACCCTGACCATGATGTCCACCGCTTCTAGCCCCCAGACGCTAGACGCCACAAGGCTTTAACAACACGGACCCCAAGAGGTCTGGGCTCATTTCACGGGTTAGTCTTTTCGTCCTAAACCATTTTTTGTCGGTCCCGGTGCCCCGCGAGCACCCAGAGGCCGAAAATACAACATATCTGCCAGCGCAGACTCCAAAGAGATCAGAACACTGAAACAAAGTGGACTGGAGTGGACTGAAGTGGACTGAAGTGGACTGGAATGGACTGGACTGGACTGGACTAGACTCCACTCCACTCTAAAGTTAATCCATGATGCACGACTCTGCTCTACCATCTACCTTGCTCTACCATCCTCTACTCCACCCCAACATGCTTTACTCTGCTCCACTCCATCCTACTGTGTTCTCCTCTGTGCTGCGGCGCATCCATCGCTGGACCAGGGCGGCCTGCCCCCGAGCCCGACACCATGCTCGGCTGCCAGAGGTGCTGCAGCTACGGCCACCGCCAGTCTGGCGACGTCCAGCCTCCCCGAGCGCTCCGGCGACAGCGGGAGCGCCGCCGTCGAGCCCGGGAAGGACGCGGCCACCGCGGACGCCTGGCCCGCGCCCGCACCACCGCCGGGGAGGCCTGGGGGCTCGGGAGGCACGCGACGCCGCGCCAGGCCTGGTGGGGCGCGCAGCTGCAGCCTCGACGGCACGAGGAGGGAGGCAGCCCAAGCCGCTCGGGACCGCGACGACGGCGCCGGGGGCAGGAAAGGAGGCAGCTGCCGCGGCGGGCTCCCTCGCAGCGCCAGCGGCCACAGAGGCGGGTGCGGCATGGGCAGCAGGATCCAGGCCGTCGCCATCTCGCCATCAGTCGCGCTCGGCAGGTACGGGACCTCGCCAGACGGCGTCGAGGGACTCCAGAGGTGGGTGAGGGAGCGTCGCCCAGCGTGCCGAACCAAGGGCGACGGCCTGTTGGCGTCTTGGCCACAGGAAGGGACTGCCCCTCATCGGCAGGGGACTGACTGGCAACCCGTGGGTACTCTACTCTCTTCTCAACTCCTCTCCTCTCCTCTACTCCTGCTCTACTCCGACTCTACTTCTACTCTACTCTACTCTACTCTCATCTACTCTGCCCTGCTCTCAACTACTCCGTTCTACTCTACTCTAGTATACTACTCTACTCACCAATTCGTTTCTGCTCTGTTCGACTATGTTGACATATATTGCGCTCGACTCTTCCCGATTGACTATCTTCCTAGCTCTATGCTGCTTTGATCTACTCGGCCCTGCCCCACTCTACTCTACCCTACCCTACCCCAAACCATTATACTATGCTCCATCCTGCTGTGCTCTACCCTACTCTACCCTACTGTGCTCTACCATTTACTTCCCTATTCCACTCTTTCCGACACGACTTTGCGCTACCATTGAACCGACTCTATTGTATCCTGATCCAATCTGCATTTACTCAACTCTACTCTACTCTACTCCTGTCCTACTCTACTCCTGCTCTACTACGCCCCACTTTACTCACCTCTACGTTACTCTATTCTACTCTACGCTCTATTATTATCCGCTCTACTCTGCGATAATGAGTCCGACACGACTCATATACTCTACTATACTCGGTTCTGCGCTACTCTAGTATACTCAACTCTACTCTGCCATATACCGTGCTATTCTATCATATGTGATACTCGACCCTATTCTCCACTTCCCTGCCCTGACCCTACTCTACCCGAACCTACTCTTCTCTGCTCTGCTCTACTCTTCTCCGCTCTACTCCATGCTCACTCCTTGTCCCTCCACCCTCTGCCTGGCAAGACCACAACACAACCTCTGCGTGCTTCGTCTCAGCATGGGCAGCACGTCGTCTGTGTTGCAAGACCCCCTCGCGCATCCCGCGCGAAAGGCCCACAGGTGGCTCTCGCCTCGGCGCCGCGCTCGCACCTCTCTCACGCATCGAGCTCCCGCTCGGGCGTGGCGCACATCTCCTTTCGCGCGCAGCTGCGCCGACGCGCGCGCGGCCGAAGATGTGCCGCTCTCGCCTCGGTGCCGGGCGGATTGCGACTGACGTTAAGTCGGGCCTGTTCCCCTACAGGCCGATTTTGGACGAAAAATTAAAGATACCAGAAAAATACCCCAAACATTATTTAACCAATTGTCAAAAAATAGTTCCCAGACTATTCTTTTACTATTTTTGAATATTCCCCCTGTAGAAGGACAGGCCCGACTTAAGACTGACGGTGACGTTCTCCGACAACGGCGCGGCGCACATGTTGGCTGCGCTCGCCGGATTTTTGTGGGGAGACCCGCACGCGAAGGCGATCTGTCGCCCTCGCGCCGGGTTTTTGGGGGGGACCCGCACGCGAAAGCGACCTGTCGCCCTCGCCCAACTTCCGTGCGCCTCTCGCTTGGCAAGCGGCGTCCCGCGCGGGCGCGGCGCACGGCTCGTTCGCCGAACCGACGGAAAGCGACAGCGGCAGCGGGGCCACACGAGAGCGGGCGACGCGCCGCGCAGCTTGTTGGTGATAGTGGCACTGCGGAGCACGCTCGTTTTCGCCCCGCTCATGACAGGCTTTGCCGCTCCCGCCCCTGCGCGGCCCGCGTAATTCTCCCTTCGCCAAGTCGTCGGAAGAGGGGCCGCGCGCAAGCGCCTTCCATTTGCGAGGTGGGAGTGCGTTCCAATCCCAATATGAAGTTGTGCCTCGATCGAGTCTTCTGCTGTGGGAGGGAGAGTCTTATGCTGTGGGAGGGAAACAGGGCCTAGGCGGGACCCTCTGACTCGCTCGAACTGCTCAGCTTGACTCATACCCTGCCACTGCCAGCCAGAACGCGGCACGAGGTCCATGCGAAAGATGGGGTCCAGAGCCTCTGGGGGGGGCGCAGCGGAGATCGTCCAAGGTTGGACGGTTCACGCGGTGTCAGAAACCAGGACTGGCGTCGTCAGGGCAGGAGCTCGCTGCACCTGGCTAGCATGATCCAATTACGATGCCCACTGCCCAGAGTCCACAGCCTCGGTGCCGCGCACACCGAGCACCTTGCTAACGATCGGCGCAGTACGTGCCAGACGCGCTGCCGCACGAGCGTTTTATCCACATCCGCTGCGTCTCCTGGACCGTCGTCCCCTCCAGGCGCAGCCTTCAAAGTTCTGGATGGCAGTGCCCTGGCTCGGGGGGCCCTGGACCCAGGCCTTCTGCCCCGCGCAGGACGTGCCGAGAGCACCCTGGCGGCCAGCGCACCGCCTCTTCCTGACCCCATGGGCCCTCGCGCGGGGCTGCCCCCCCGCTCCGGCCGTTTGGGCGGTAAGAAGGTGCGGGTACCGCAGCTCCCTCCTGGGGGGACAATATCATCCCAGATGTCTGAGGATATGATATGTTTCGCTCCGAGTTTGGGCTTCTGGGGCCCGTTAATTGCGGGTCCCTGGGAGCATCAAAAATTAATCCAGGGGCGAAAACTGGCCACAACGACAGAGGTCGGGAGCTCAGGGCCTGCGGAATAACACCATCAGATCGGAGGATGTCTGTCTGGGGTACCAATATCGCCAACTACTCCCTGGCCCTCTCCAAGGGTACGTTCTGACAAGAATTCCGAGGCGACGAGAGAAGGGTCGCTGTATCGGTACCCCAGATGTCATAATAACATATGGGGCGGGGCACATCTGCGGGGGCCTGACTTGAGCTGTCTCGGAGGGTTCGTGGGGGTCTGGGCACAAGGCAGCTCTTTCACGGCTGATCTGGAGGGGGGGTGCTCTAACATTGCTCGTCTAGGAGGGCTGTGACCCCCACCCACTTGGGCATGATGCCCAGAAATCCGATGTGGTGTTTCTTCTGTTTGCTTTTCCTTTCCATACGGGGCCCCCAGAAATCTCGACACGCTCCCCAGGACAGGTTTTTCCTCCTGAATCGTTTTGCTGACGGTCCCGAGGCCCGGCGAGGGCCCCCAGGGGCCGAAATTTGGAAAAAAAACTCCGGTTTGTTTTTCCCATACGCTCAACCTCTGGGAACCTGGAGTGCCTGCTCATCCTCTGGCCCTCGCTGCCAGCGCGTCCCCTTTTTCCCGGCCCCGCCGGCTCTCGCGCAGGGTCGCCCCCCCCCGCCTCAGTCGGCCTCGGTGCCCGCCGCCTCCGGCTGGGTCACCTCCTCGAGCCGGCGTTTCTCCTGCTGGCGGTGCGCTGGGGGGGGGGCAGGAGAGCCCAGAATCGAATCGAGAAGTAGGAGCGGCGATCGAAGTGGATCGGATCGGCGGAAATCGGAAGCCGAGTCCGGAGAAGTCGAATCGGCGGGAATCGGCAGAGTAGGAAGGCTCCAATGGAATAAGAAATCGAAACCCAAATAGGAATGGCAAATCGAATCAAATTAGAATCGGAAACCATCGAAATCGAATCGAATCGAACTGGAAGAATCGAAACGAACCCTGGGGGGGGGAGTGGGATTGGGGGCAGTTCTCAAAAACGCTGAAGGATTGTTTTGTTCGTTGTTCCCACGTTTCGCCTCTGCCTCGACCGAAACGTGTTCAGAAAAAGGCATGGCGATGGCTAACAACGTTTGGACAGCGCAATTGTCACCAAAAGGGGCCGATTCTGGACCTGGGAATTTTTCCTTGAAGGCGACACAGAACCACTTCCCCCAAACCACTACAGAAACTCCGACCTTCAAAACAACACGAGAAAAACTCTGCACAGCAAACAACATCTGCGCGGGCCTGCTCACAAGGCGGCAGGGGCTCGCAGAAGCCTCCCCCCCCCGGCCTTCTGAGAAGCCGCCTCCGCCTTCGGCGAAGACTCGGGACGCTCCTCCGAAGGCCGGAGGCCTGCGGAGGCCTTTTCTGAGCAGTGCCCGCGCCCTCCGCCTTCCCCCCCCCGGGCGCGCCGCCGATCCTGGCAGAGGTGGAACCGGCGCCAGCCGGGCCACGAGGTCACCTCGGGGTGGCGCGAGGTGACGACGATGCCCACGCCGGGGGGGGCGCTGCCGACGAGCAGCTCGAGGAGGATCAGGGCCTCAAGGAGAGGAGCATCCGGTAAGAGAGGTATGCTCTCCGAGGTCCGCGCGGATTTCTTCCGTCGGCGTCCCAGACCTCCGAGGATCGGAATTTGCAATCGGCGGTCAACCTACGATTGGGGCATCTGGGGCTCGGGGGTCCCAGGACCATCGAAAACATCGATCCGGGACAAACAACCGAAAGAATGGGTCGGGACCTCTGGGGCCACGCACTTGGACAAATCACATCGTTGGATGTCCAGAACTGCAGTCCCCCTCCAAGACCCGCGGAAGCGCCGCCAGAAGGGCCCCAGCGCCGATCCAAGAGACCCGCGCAGACCTCCGAGAGTCTGTGCCTGTGCCGCTTTTCCCTGCTCGAGCCTCGTCGCCGTCCAGCGCGCTGTCTGCCTGTCTGCTGCACGCAACAGTGACGGCTCGCGAGAGGTGACCTTCCGTGCATGCATACGGTGCGACAGTGGCGGCCCGTGTGCTCGGGTTTGTCCCCGCCCCGCGCTCCCCGAACGCCGCGCACCAGAGGTCACCCCGGCGAAGGGCCACTCTTGAGGGGGGGGCGACGGGGGGGGGGAACTGGTGCGGGGGAGGGGCGTCATTGACTTGGAACTTGCGACGTGTCGTGGATGGGTCAGCGAGGGCCCGTCGGTGAATCAGCGGAACCGCTCGTTCCCATCTGAGGGGCTGGGACAAAAAAAGGTCCCGATCGGCGAGGGCCAGGCGATTGGGGGTCGATGTGTTCCCCCCCCCCCCCCCCGGGCCAGTCCCTCCACAAGTCGGCGCCCCCGACACCTTCCACAGTCGAGTTTGATCGGAGAGAACACACGGACGGACACAAGATTCCGATACGCAGGGCCCAAGGGCACCCTTCATATCTGTTTGGCAGGGTCGACCTGCTCATCAAACTCGACAGCAGGGCACCTTGGACCCTTGAACTTCGTGCGCCGCGCCTAGTGATGCGCGAGGGCGCCGTTCCCTCTGCAGCCTCTCACGAGGCCACCCCGGAGGTGAGCCGCTGCCCAGCCGAGGCCGCGACGCGCGATCCCATGCATCCGACGATGTGGCTTCTCAGTGCACACCCCCGCGAGGTTCCGACCCCCTGCCCCGGGGCCAGCTTCGTCCCGGGCCCACTTTTGTCGGGGAGGCGTAAGACTCGGGTACGGGGGACTCGAGTTGGCCTGACGGGGGCCATCATAAAAATGACGAGACCCAATCTGAAATTTGACGCGGGCTCCCGCTGCAGACATCCCACGAAAACGGGACCGTCAAAATTCAGGACGCGCTCGTCAAATAAAGTCGGCAAACCCGAGTTCTGGCTTACTCGAGTCTTACGTTTCCCCGCTTCTGGTGGCCCCGGAGGCCCGGGTCGGGGCGAAACGCTGGGGCTGACAACCAGTCCGGCCGTCGGATAAATCCGGGGCCGCGACGCGCAGAGAGCGCGATGCCCTGCGCGCCCCTGCGGAGGACCCGAGCTTCGCACACACATAAGCCGAGGGCCTCGTCCAGCAGCAGCCACCGCGTGGCGCCCGGCCACCTGTGGGCAAGGTCTGTACACATCCATGCCCACGGCGTCTCGGACTCCCGGGGAAGGGGATGCCGGACAGTTCAGGCCGCAGTGGATGTCTTGTGGAAGCGGATTCCGAAACCCTGAGTCCCAAAATGTTGGCATCTCTTTTGGGGTGCGGGTGGGGTTGGCTTCCGCCGCCTTCCGCCGAGCTTCTGCCGCCTTCCGCCACCGGAAGCTTCCTCGCTCTGCTTCCGCCGCCCTCCGCCGACGAAGAGATGCCGACTCATTCGGCCCTCGAAGGTGCGGCCCTCTCTGGAACGCCGCAAGCGCTGGGTCTCTCACATCCAATGCGTCTCGGCTATGTATGGGGGCAGCACGTATGGTTAAGTCGGGCCTGTCCCTCTACAGGAAGAACATTCAAAAGTTGTCACAAAAAAGTCTGGGGACGATGTTGGACTATTGTTTGTTTATGTTTGTATGTTATTGTATGGTTTATGTTTCGTCCAAAATCTCGAGGACAGGCCCGAGTTAAACGTAGGGCCAATACATGGGCGAGATACCTGGGGGCAATACCTGCAATACCCGGGGGCAGCATTCGGGGGCACGGGGGCAATACCTGGAGGGGCGAACGCGCTCAAGAAACTGAGCCAGCTTGGTTTCTGAATAAAATGCTCGACCGTACATGGGCGAGACACCTGGGGGCAATGCCTGCGATACCTGGGGGCAACATCGGGGGGCACGGCATGGCGGTGGCACAACCGCCGCCGCGTGGCCCCTAACTCTTCTCCGCAGGTGCGGGGTGCCACGCACAGAAGAACAGACTGCGCCATGAGCATAAAATTTAGGAGCTCCGCGCGGACTTCGGAGAGCTGCGCTGGACCCACTCCCTGGCGCTCGGAGCGTGCCAAGGCCGGCGCTCGGAGCGCGCCAGGGGCGGCGCTGGAGGCGCCGCCAGAGGGGCCCCCAGCGCCGATCCAAAAAATCCGAGCGGAGCTCCGTGAACTTATATGTATGTGGTTATGGGGTGCCTTTTTCTGTTGTTTCCCTTGTTCTTCTTCTTCTTCTTCTTCGAACGTGTTGGTACAACTTTTGCTGGAAGTCCTGGCCCTGGCCCCAAGCCTGACTGTTCCCTCCCCAGCTGCTTCTTGACGCTCCTGGGGCCCGACGTGGGCCCCTGGAGGCCGAGAGCTGCCCCCCCCCCCCCCCCCCCCCCCCCCCAGCCCCCCCCCGCCGCGAGATACGCCGGGACCCGGGCCGATTTCCCACCACCACTACCATAGGTAATGGAGGAGGAGGAGGAGGAGGAGGAGGAGGAGGAGGAGGAGGAGGAGGAGGAGGAGGACCTCCCAATCCTCCCTTCTCCCCCGTCCTACCTATGGTAGTGGTGGTGGGAAATTGGCCCATCAACGCGAGCACGTCTGGGGACCCAGTCGGGTGTTGCTAGAGGTGCCCCTGGCCCAAGGTGCCCCCCAGGATCTCCGGGGAGGCGGAGGCTCCCGCGGCCTCCAGAGCACACCTCGCGAGGCCCAGGGGGCCCCAGGGGCTCCAAGACGGAGCGAAAAGCGGGGGGGCACCTTGGGCCAGGGGCACCTCTGGCAGGCCCCGAGGCAGGTCTTGCCCGCACCGGTAACGGCAATGGCGATGGCAATGGCAATGTCCGCGGGTGATGAGGAGATGAGGAGGAGGAGAAGGAGGAGGAGGAGGAGGAGGAGGAGCAGGAGGAGCAGGAGGAGGAGGAGGAGGAGGAGGAGGAGGAGGAGGAGGAGGAGGAGGAGGAGGAGGAGGAGGAGGAGGAGGAGGAGGAGCAGGAGGAGCAGGAGGAGGAGGAGGAGGAGGAGGAGGAGGAGCAGGAGGAGGAGGAGGAGGAGGAGGAGGAGGAGGAGGAGGAGGGGGAGGGGGAAGAGGAAGAGGAACAAGAGGCAGCGAGGAGCACCGAGCACGGAGGAGGGCCGAACGGCCGCCATACCCATCCAGTCTGGCGCCGAAAACGCCCCCCCCTCCCCCCCCGCCGCCGCGATTTATGCCCTGGCCATCGCTCGGCCGTCCATTCCCTGTGCTCTTTTCGGTTTCGTGCGTGGTTGTTTGTCGCAGGATGGTCCAGGATGCTCCTTCATAACCCCCGCCGAGAAAAAAAAGTGCACGCGTCCGAGCGATACCAAGTGTCGGGGCGCGAGCATGTCTGGGGACGCAGGTCCTGCCCGCTCCCACCGCGCCGCGAGGCGGGCGAAGGCGAGGCGCTGGCGGCCCCCGAGCGGCAGCAGCGCGCCCCAGTCGGCCTCCTCGTCCAGCCTGCCCGCGAGGGCCGCCAGGCCGCACGCGGCGAGGGCCTCCTGCAGGTCCTCTGGCGGTCAAGTTTGAGAAACAAACAAATGCGACAAAACAAGTGTGATACAGAAAACAGGTGTGATAGCACACGTGTTTTTTTCACACTTGCTTTGTTAAGCACACTTGTTGTTGTCTCACACTCGTTTTTTTATCACGCTCGCTCGAGGGGGGGGCCTGGGGGGTCCTCTGACGGGTCCTCCTGGCGGTGAGGCGGGTCCTCTGACGGGTCCTCCTCCTCCTGGGGGGCAAGTACTGGCCAGGGGAGGGCTCTCGGTGGGAACCCATGGGAGCCCCTCGTGGCATCTCGCTGGCTCTTGCGAGTCGACGCCAATCGACGCTAATTCGATGGACGCAAACTCGACCGACGCTAACCGAGGCTAGATAATCGACGCGAATTCGATGGACGCACATTCGTCCGACGCGGATCGACGCAAAAAATCGGCGCTCTCGGGCCGGGGGGGTCCTCTGACGGGTCCTCCTGGCGGTGAGAGGCAGGTCCTCTGGTGGTGAGGCAGGGTCCTCTGACGGGTCCTCCTCCTACTGGGGGTATACCGGCCGGGGGAGGGAGCTCGGTGGGCACTCCTGGTAGCCTCTCGTGGCATCTCTCGCTGACTCCTGCGAGAAGACGCTGGCTGGCGCGCATCGTCGCGAATTCGATAGACGCAGATTCGACCGACGCTGATCGACGCTGACTCTCGGCGCTCTCTCTCTCTCTCTCTCTCTCTCTCACCGGCTAGAAGACGCTATGCCGCACGCGAACGCACTCCGAAGGCGGAACTGCGAGAACATGCAAGGCTCCCATGATTTGCTGCCGAATGGGGGGGAAACATCGACGTTGACCAGACCATACAGCATTCGGCCTGACCTTAAGGAACGAGACATAAGGAACGAAGCCCCTTTGTTTCCAAGCAAATCTAGGAAGTCCAAAGGGACACCAGGGGGCCTCGCCGCCAAAGAGGTAGCGGAACGCATATGCAAGGCACAGGAACGACCGAGCTCCTCTTGAAAAGCATGTGTTCCTTATTTAAGCTGGACCCCGTACGTCGCCGATAGAAGCTACGAGGGGTAGAACAGATCAGCACCGAATCGGGACATCGGATCACGCCGCAAAGCATCACGGCGCAAGGTGCGTCGGATCGGGCCGCATAGGCGCGGAGTCGGAATGGAATCGGCTCGGCCGTGCCAGGATGCCCACCCGCGCCTATGCAGGCATCGGGCCGCATCGGATGGCAGGAACATCGGAGACGAGTCGGCCAGAATCCCTATCGAACCAGATCGGCCGAATTGGAATGGTCCCTGTGCGGGGCGGCAAAATGGCCCGCTCTGGAAACCCTGCTCCTAAAAGCCTTGCCATCTCTTTGAGAGAGCTACCGAGGAGGCGCACCCGGTTTACCTCCACGGGCCTTCCGCCGAGGATGAGATGTCAACCTCCCGGCCCCTCGGAAGCGAGGCCTCTTCTGCCGAGCCCTAAATCGGGCCAGGGTAGATGTGGCCAGATGATCGCACCGCGTCGCCGATTCATCGGCGATCCGTCGATGACGTCGGGGTGGAGAAAACCGTGCTCCGCATCTCGCCGCATTGCTGGCGCATCGGCGGTGCGGGGCGATCCTCCGACCCTTTCTGCTTCAGCCTCATTTGGTCGACCTGGGAACACAGGTCTGCCAATATCGGCGGTGGACAACCCTCCCTTTAGTAAAGCTCCCCTTAGTGAAAACGGCCTGGGACCGAAACCGACGGACCTGGACCCGCAAAAGTGACGGCCGCGACGCCCTCTCGCGAACCGAGAACGGCCAATTCCTTAATCGACGTGTCAGGGTAGGAGGTCCATCAACCTCCTACAGTAGCCCCACTCCCTGGCGTTGTCCGAGGCGGCCATACGACAAGGACCTCGAGGCGAACCCGGCCGTGGCGACGAGGGCCACCACCGGGAGGCCCTGGAGAGGCAGAGCGAGGGGCGGGCATCGACATCGGTGTGTGTGTGTGTGCTCCCTCTCCGATCCTCGTCGAAGGGGGGTATGACGTCCGGGTAGGTCAGGCTCCTCCTGTAGAGATCAGAAAATCCGCCCCCATACTAAGCAGCCCGACAAGCGAAGCCGTTCAGTAAACGCACCCATGGAAGGAATCGAACAGGGCAGGGCTGTTTAGTAAACGCCCAGGGCTGTTTAGTAAACGCGAATTGTCGGGGTCGGGGTGGTTCTTCCACCCTTGATCCTGTGGAAGAACAGCAACCAGCATAGACATCAACTTTCGGAGGCGCCCGGGCACTTGGATCGGTGCTAGACCCTCCTCCCTGCGCGCGGAGCGCGCCGAGGGGCGGAGCTGGAGGCGCCGCCAAGGGGGTCCAACGCAAATCCAAGAAACCCGCGCAGATCTCCGAAAACGTGTGCGCGGACCTGAACTCTCGACGTCGGCGCTCTTCGCCAAGGCGCGAGCGGGGAATACGAGGGCTCGGGGCCCCCTCCGGGGGGCCCCAGAACTGGCCGAGATCGACGCGCTCCCCCGAACACGACGACGACGGAATCGCGAATTCGGTTTCAGTCGACCAGAATTTCGGCCCGCGCACATGTGTTTATGCTGCTTTCTCTTCGAGTCGATCCTCAGCGTCGCGCGGTGCGGTAGCAGGAAGCCAGACGAGCTCAGCAGCATCACGCCAGAGCCTGAGAGGCAAGGATAGCGTGGGACGAGCTCCGGGGGGGGGGGCATCGACCTGGAATCGGCGATAGACCGCCGATAAATCGGCGGTAGGCTCCGATAGGGAATCCGGGGTGAAGATATCGGGCTCCCATCGGCAATCAATGAGCTATTGAGGGTCGATGCGTCCCTCCTGAGCCCATTCCCCCCCCTAACGTTGCCCAGTGGTTCCCGGGTCATAGCTCGACTCTCTGGCAGCCGTTCTGGATGATGGCGGCAGCCCCAGAATGCTCGCAGCGAGGCGCAGGGCTGGACCTAAACAGTGTTTTTCGTTTTCACGTTGTTCTCGCGTTCCATCGTTTTGTCTTTGATCTGTCTCCACCGCACAACAAAGTCGAAACGAAAAACGGCCCACGAAATCGCCAAAACACCGCTTAGGTCCACCCGCAGCCGCTGGAGGGCATCCCGAGGCCGGAGAGGACCGCCGAGGCCCCCGAACCTCCAACCGATTCCCCCCCCAAACGTATGCCCCAGAGAGCCGCGAAGGCCCAAGTCCGTCGCGCCGTCCCGCACCGGCGGCGGCCACGCGCCCGCGAGGGAGCGCAGCAGGGCGCTCTTGCCGCTGCCCGGCGGGCCAGTCAGCAGCACGCGGTCGCCGGCGCGCCACTCGAACGTCGCGTCCTCCAGCAGCATCGCGCCCCCTGTGGGAACAAGCAATGCTTGGGAGTCTTCGGAAGGTCCCGTTGTCCCTGGGGGTGTGCTCGCCTTGCGATGCCTCCCAGCAGCTGCGCCTCGCCGAAGGAGTCCTGCTGGGGGTGTCAGGATCGTCCCGAACGGCCGCCAGAGGCCCGGGCTGTGACCCGAAAGCTAAGATCTCTGACGACACGAGTTGCCCGACCCCTCGCGATTTTCCCCGATTTCGGCCTCCGCGGCCCTTCATGGGGCCCCAGGACAATCGAGTACTGCTACCTGGGACGCACAGCTAACCACAGGAAGGGGGTGGAGACTTCCAGGGACGGTCGGTCCCTGCTCAAATATCGGTACGTACCCCAGACATTCTCCTATACGTGTTTTTCAACCCGTTACACCACTACACATCACATCCACCGTTACACCACTACACATTGCCCATGCCACACATACACACCCCTTTGTGTTCGATGTGGCTTCGCAGGATGGGCACCGTTGGAGTAGCGGGACACGCGTTCGAACGCGATGACAACCCTCGACGTCGGTCCGAGCTGTCAGTGGTCAGTCGACTGTCAGTGCTCTGTGAGAAGTCTGTCTGTGGTCCGTCAGTGGGCTGTAGGTGGTCTGTCAGTGGGCTGTCAGTGGTCTGTCAGTGGTCTGTCGGTGGTCTGTCAGTGGTCTGTCTGTGGGCTGTCCTTGGTCTGTCAGTGTCTGTGAGTGTCTGTCTGTGTTTGTCAGTGGTCTATCAGTGGGGAGGATCGAGGCACGATGTGGTCCTACCCATGCATCGTACTGTGACCCCCCCCTGACAGGCACTGACAGGCCACCGACAGACACTGAAACACCACCGACAGATCACGGAAAGGCCACTGACAGACCACTGATAGACCACTGACAGACCACCGACAGACCAACGACAGACCACTGACAGACCACTGAGATACCACGGACAGACCACTGACAGTCCACTCACAGTTCACTGCCAGCTCGCTGACAGGCCAGTGACGGACCACTGGCAGACCACTGACAGACCACTGGCGGACCACTGACAGCCCACTGGTAGCTCACCGACAGCCAGGCCACTGACAAGCCACTGACAGGCCCCCGCAACGAACCGCGAGGGGAAAGGGGGGGAGGCGACTGCGAGGCGAGGGGGCCCGTCGGAGACCCTCGGAAGGGGCCCAACTCGACCCCCACGATTGGCCCCCATGACATACCGCGTTCTACGCTGAGGTCCCACCCCAGCACGTACACGTCGTTCATTTCTAATCGTGTTCATTTCTAAGTGTGCTCGTTTCTAGTTGTTCCTGGCCCCCTAGTGGCCAAGAAGAGGCCCAGGATAGAACACTTAGAAGTTCAATGATCTTGGCCCCCCTAACAGACCAAAAAACTCGAATACTTAGGAATGAACAATGTGTACGCGAAGGCACCCCAGACATCTCGTTGGATGCCTGTGGGCCGCAGACGTCAGATGCCATGATTTGTTCCATAACTACGCGGTCCCCGGAAGCCCCGCTATGGCCAGCGTTTCATCTCGGGTCGTGCCTTCATGGTCGCGGTGCCCGAAGAAACGGCCCCCGAGGGCGGAAGTCGAGGAAACCCGCCAATATTCCACAGAAACGCAGCGTCGGAGGCCTGGCTTCGATGAGAATTCCGCTGTGGCGACGCGGGGCTTCCAGGACGAGCGGCGCCCCACCCCGGCAAGATGGCACGACAATGCTGTGGCGGCCAGCCGTGAGGAAAGGTACGCCTGCTTCGAGCCCAGACGACTGGCGCCAGTGCCACCGCCGTTTCCAAGGTTGGGCTCTGTCCTCTGTGTACGGGCCCGCTGGCCGCGAGGATTCGGTTTGGTTTGCCGGGTCGTTAGATTCCATGTCCAGCGTGGCCGGCCCTCTCCCTGCCGCGGCGGTTGGAGCTTTGAATTGGAAGCCTGGGTATTGCGATCTCGCCGTGGCTCCCCGGGAGGTGGCGGACACTCCCCCGACCACGGTGTCCCTCACGTCGCCTTCGCGCTTCGTCGGTCTGGGTTGTTCGGCGGTGGTTGTGGATTCGGCCCCCCTGCCCGCCGCCCCCCGCAATTTCGTGGTGGTGTGCGACGCCGACCTCCCGCCTCGCCCCCAGCCGGCCCAGACGCACCGCCTCAAGAGATTGGCCCGCTACGAGTGGGTCCGCGCGCCCCCTTCGAACGAAAGCGGCGCTGCTGCATGCAGCGGCTGACGAGTGGGGGGCCCCGAGCTTAGCTCTTCCCCCCCTTCCTCCGACTGGGCAACCGAGGTGTTGGCGCGGTGGCACAGGCGCGCCGAGGCCGCGCTGAAGACGGCAGCACCCGGGCAGCCGAGCGACCGAAGGGCGTTTCGACCGAAACGCGGCCCGTGGCTCCTTGAGGCCCCACGCGGGGCGAGGCCACGATCCGCGAACGTCGCATGCTTCGGCTCCACAGGTTGGTCGTGGCGGCCGGGAAGATGGGCTCCGCGGGCACCGCGGCGCTTCTGCCGCCCCTGGTCACCCGCAAGTGGGCCACTGCCTGCCAAGATGGGTTGCTCCTGGGCCCCCTCCCCCGTACCCTCGGCGAGGCGACCCAAGCGCTGCCCCGGTCGCTCACTGCCGAAGCTAAGGTCGCCCAGCAGTGCGCCCTCCATACGTGGCGGTCTCAGTTCCGCAGGTGGGGCGCCCGCGCTGCGGCCGTGGCCGCGAGGGCGATGCGGACACCCGCGCCCGCCCAAGTCTTCTCGGCCGAGGACATGCGGCGGGAGTGGAAGCCGTGGTGGGTCATTGATCTGATCCTGGAGGCGCCCCCCTGGACTGGATCGTCGTCGCCTGGGAGTGGGGGGTCCACGAACCCCCCGCCAACCCCGCATGGCGCCCCCCCTCCTTCGCGGCCTTCCAGCGGGCCCTCCGGGACACTCACGGGGCGGATGGGCTCGACGGTTGGGAGGCTACTGACTTGCAGGGCCTCTCGGGCCACATCCCTGGCCTCCTCCGCGAGCTTTGGGCCATCCTCGTCGCCACGGGCGCCAGCCCATGGCCCGATGAGCGCACGTGGGCTTTCGGGCCTTGAAGGTGGTCGGCATTCCTAAGCGGGGGTCCGACGACGCCCGGCCGATCGCGATTGGGCCAGTCTGGATGCGAGCGTGGGGCCGTTGCCTCCTCGACGCGCTCCCCGCGCCCATCGCCAAGGCGTTCCCGGAGAGGGGCGCCGTGGCCTCCGTGGCTGACTAGGCCGCCGCGCCCGGTGACGCGGGAGCTGAGGTCGACCTGAGCCGGCCTGCGACTCGGTGGACCACGGCGTCGCAGGCGCCGCCCTCAGGCACCAAGATACACCGTCTCCGGTCGTGGCTGCCCTCGAAGCGGTCTGGCGGGACCCCCGGTATTGCTCGGTGGCGGGGGCCATTGCTGCTGCTTTACACCCGGGGCTTGCCGCCTGGCGACACCCCCTCTGGCCGGGTTCTCAGCGTGGTGCTCTGCCCCTGGCACGCCGCGGTCCGTTCGGTGCCCAGGACACGCGGGTGGTCCTACAGGGACGACCGGTCCCTCAAGGCCGCCGCGGCGGTTGATCGGGACAGGGCCTTAACGATCACTCCGGGAATCGATTGACGGCTCGGATCTTCGGAAAAAATCAGAAGCGGCAAGTTTGGTCGGGCACCCAGAACGCCGAACACTTACGAGTGCTGGCCGCTGTCGGCGACGCCACGACCTGGCCCAAACTGCCCGAGCTCTGGGAAGGATGGGACCAGATCCGTTCCCAGGTGCGCGGGCTCCGCACGGTCCCCGGCGGGCAGCGGAACAGGGAACTCGCGGCTCAGACGTGTACCGCTCCTAAACATCGGTGGTCGGCCCCGTTCTGCGCGATCCCGCCATGTGACCTGATCGCGCTCACGCCTATAGGTCCGTTGTCCAGACTGAATGCACATGGTGGTGCGCTCGGCGATGGTACGCCGAACGGGTTTCGTTGCACCCGGTCTTCGGCACGGTGGGCGCTGTGCTGAAGGCGGCTCGCGAGGGGGGTCCCGCGTCGCGGTTGTTGTCGGTGGCGCTCTCGGAGCATTCCGGGGTGTTCGGGCTGCTCCCGGTTTCGTCCTGCATGGTCGCTCCCCGAAGGCGTCTGGCTGCTGCCGGCCCCGGGGCTCGACCCCCGGGCGGCGGCGGCGCCGTCGCCGCTGCTGCCGCCGCTGACAGCCGCGAGAACCCGGCACGCTGGAGCCTGCCCCCGCCCCCCCTTCCGAAGGCTTTCGACGCCTCGTCCAATCACGGTCATCACGTTCTCCGGGAATGCGCACGGGAGGCGGTCCTTCGTCTCCGGGCGGCGCCTGCGCCCCCGCCGCGGCACGACGAAGAGGGGATCGGGGAGATCGATCTGGCTGCCCAGAGCGCGCCGACGTGGGCCCAGTTTCGGCGATCGCTGGGCCGATACGACGCGACCCTCCTCGACGTCTGGAGGGGCGGGGCCGTGTGCACGCCGACCCGCAGGCACGGCGGCGCGTGCGTTTGCCCATTCGGTTGCGGACACACCCAGGCTTCGGCTCGGCACTTCTGGGCCGAGTGTCCACGTCTTGATGGGCGTCGGCTCGAACTCGGAGAGAGGCTGCGGGTCGCGCCGGCCTGGTGGGGGGACCAGCCCCGCGTCACTGCGAAGACGGGGTGGATCACTTAGGCTGCGGGGGGCTCGATTCAGCGACGGGCTCATTTGCAGGTGATGGCGTGTCGCCTGGGCATCACCATCATGCAGGCGCTCGCTGGCCTCGGCGGGTGGGCCGTCGGGGACGCGGTCCCCCCGCCTGGAGCCCACCAGGGTCTTCCCTCCCTTCCCTCCCCGCTCCCTTCGGCGGGCGGCGGCCTGGCGGGCGGCGGGACGGGCGGCGACGACTCTGACGACCTCCCTCCCCCTCCTGGTGGTGGTGGCCGTGGTGCTGGTTGCTACGGTACGAGCGAATTCACCTGGGGTCCGGCCCGATTCGCCGGCCCTCTCCGGCGCCTCGTGGCGTCCGCTTCAGCTTCGCGCCCCGGCCGCTCTGGCCCGGGAGCCTAGCTAGGCTTCGCAGGCGCCCCACGCCTGCTTTCCGAGCAGCCAGGGCAGAGGTATTCTTTCTTTTTTTGTAATAAAAAACACTCTTCAGGAGGAAGCGGAAGCGGAGGGTGAGGAGGAGGACCCCCTCATCCTCCCTTCTCCCCCGTCCTGCACATGGTAATGGTGGTGGGAACTTTGCCCATCACCACTGACCTTCGGCGGCGATGGCGAGGCCCTCCCCGCGCAGCGAGCCCGCACCGCGAAGCGCGCCCGCGTGCGCCGCCGACAAGGTCAGCGCCGCCTCGCGTGGCCGCGCGGCCACGGTGCAGGCTTCCAGCGCCAGTAGCCGATTGCCGGCCGCCTGCCATACGGCGATGTTAGAAGAAGAAAGAACGGCATAAACATGAACTTGTGGCGCTCCGAGTAGATTTCTGGGATCCGCGCTGGGCTCCCCCGGCGACGCCTCCAGCGCCGCCCCTGGCACGCTCCGCGCGCCACGGAGGGGGATCCAGCGCAGATCCAAGAAACCCGCGCGGAGCGCCAAAAGTTTACGATTATCCAGTTATTTAGTCTTCTAGATGTCCCCGTACGCGCCGATGAAGAAGTCGAGGCTCTGCCTGGAAAGCAAGACGACACGGACCAGGGCAAAGACGGAACGCGGAGACGCTGGTGCCGATCTTGGTCAGCGTCCAGCGTGGTCACCATCCACTTGTGGATCATCCTCGCATATCGGTGACGAACGCATAGACCATGACCAGGATCGACGTCAACACGATCTCGCGACATCTTTATCATGGTCATCGTAAACATCAGGGGGGACCAGCTCTGGCGGGGAAACATCGACGAGACTTGCAATCGGCGCTACATCGCCGATGTATCGGCGATGGGCCCCCGATAGCGGATCCGCACGCTCCTTGGCGGGACTGGGCTTGCGGGTGCCTATAAGTGACCAATGAGCGATTGGGGGTCGATGCACACCCCCTGAGCCTATCCCCCTAACGTTGCCCTGAGCCTCACGCCCCCGAGGACACCCTCTATCTGGAACATGAGGCCCAGACTGATGTCCCCGTGGAAATAGTACGGCACCAGCACCAAGATCGGGAAAACGCTGCCCACTAGGCCGTAGGCGGAGGTGAACGTGCTCAGGTTGAACGCCGAACGCGCCACCATCCAGGTCGCCGCCTTCAGAACAACATAACTCGGCTTACGATCGGGGACTTTTGCTTAGCGTGTCGCGGCGACGGCCCTGGCGACATGCTGTGCCTTGCGAGGTGATAGCGTGTCGCTCCGCCCCGCCAGGCTAGGAGGCTCAGAGCAGCTACGGACGTTGATGACGCCTGGGGACTGCGAAGTGGATAGCGTGTCGCGCCGACGCGTGGTGGGCCAGAACAGACGGAGCGGCACAAAATCAAATAAATCCCGAACGTAATACTTCTGAGGTCGCTCGGGCTTCATGGATCTGCGACGGAGGAGCGCGCTGGGGGTTGTGCCAGGAGCGCCGCCAGGGGAGCCCAACGCCGATGCGAATAATCCGCGCGGACATCCAACGGCATATGTTTCCGCAGTTCGCATTTCCCATAAACTACATGGGATTCTGGCTGGATGTTCTTCCCACCCGCGTCGCAGTCGCGATGTTTCGCCTCCCCCTCCTCCGACCATTTCTTGCCCTTGCACCCCCTCTCACCCACACGCACACGCACATGCGCGAACACATCAGAGATCACACCAAACGCAGGCACACAAACACACCAAACATCCAAAACGCGCACACCTGTTGGCGGTCGCGGCCTCGCGCGCAACGACGAGGCGGGGCAAGTCGAAAGCAGCGGAAGCGGGCGCGCGCGGCCAGGACAAACGCATGCACACTTACACGCGGGCACTTCCTCGAACAAAAAAAGGGGGCGCGGAGTGTGATTTCGAAACGCGGTCTCTATCCGTGTCATGCGCAGGGCGTGGCACATTCTCGACACCGAAGAAGAGGGGGAGGGGGGGGGGGGGCGCAGGGGATGGGCATGGCAGGTGCCCAAAAGGGGTGCGCTGGAGCGGCGTGCGTCCGAGGGAATGGTCGTGCGGAGGGGCATTCCCGATGCAAGATGCGGAACGAGCAGTCTTCCAGAGCTCCTTATCTCACGGAGGTGCGTTCCTTTGTCCGGAGGCGGGTCTCGACCAGAGCTCTCGAGTTGATCTCGCTCTGCACGCTGCCAGTTGCACGGGCGAAGGCTTCTATACAATCCAAAACTGCAAACACCTCAATCTGAGCGCACGAAGACTCTTTTTCCCGAACGTGCTCTGACCACTGGGGTCATCGAGCGCATAAGCCAAAACGCGCCATCGCCGAGCTGCTGCCACCTCCATGACTGAAGCCAAAACAATCGACAACGTCTTCTCCCCCCGAACCGCCCAATAAGCACAGAGCAACAACTTTCTTGACTGGTGTCCCAAACAATGGGTTTCTCGGGGGCCGCCCTGCCACTGTCAACGTGGCACCTATGACGATTTTGGAGGCGAGCCATCCAGGCACAGACCTGACTTTACCCCGCGCCGGAGCGACAGCAGGGCGCCCTCGGGACAGGCGGCGGAGACGCGCCCCAAACGATTGCGCGCATGGAAGGCCCAGGCGCGCAGAACTACACTAAAGGGGGAAACGCGGTGCACCCGTAGGCGCACAGCACCGAAACACCAGCAGGAGGGAGCACATACAAACTACCGCAGCAATACATCGGAAGGCTAAGTCCCGCCCAGGGCACCGAAACACCAGCAGGAGGGAGCACATAAAAACTACCGCAGCAGTACATCGGAAGGATAAGTCCCGCCCGGGGAAATGCAGAACCCGCGAGAACGATGGTCGAACTTCTTGCGGCGCGGGTCACCGCAGTCCTCTGAAGTGTCGACCTTGTATTCATGATGAATGCGCCCAAAGATGCATCCACGAGAATGAGACTGAAACAGGTCGCGCGTGCATGCACAGCGCGCTCATATCCTAAAGACGCCCATGGCAAGGTAGGGTGGCGACGCCGCTCTGTTTCTGCTGCCCCGGAGGGTGAGATGGGCGAGGTTCGAGCAGCCAGCTTCAGACAACCAGTTCTCAAGGCGTTGCGTGGGGCCCTCGCGCGAGGGGGGGCCTGCGAAAGGAAAAGCACGGGGGCGGGCGCGCAAGTTCCGCCGGCGCAGTGCTTGCCGCAGCTCCGCGGAGCCGCGAACAAGCTGACCAGATTGATGCATGTCAGGCAGGAACATGTTCATGTGCCATCCGCGTGGAGCGACCGACCACGCACCGCGCGGGCATTGCACGCTGCGCCACTGTCGATAACTCCCGTCCTGTCCCGATAGCAAGCGCCAGTGCCAGGTCGCGCGATGCGAGGCCCACGACAAACGCTGGCGCATGTCCCCCTGGGCCTTCACGGCAGGAGGGGCGATCGGTTCTACTTTTATCGCGCGCTGCGGCGGCGCAGACAAGCACATGGCGACAAACGCAACGTAGAAACATGCAAGACATGTCCATGAGCAGCTCATCCCAACGGCGCACGGCGGGATCCCGACGTTGCAAGGGGGGGGGGGGGGGCGTAGCATGCCGCCGCCAGCTCGAGCCGGCCCCATCGATATTGAAGTATCCTGTGGAGCAATTTTCACCTCGCGCTCTCGCAGAGCAGTGGCGGGCGCGCGCCGGGGCCGAGGCGGGCGCCGACGGCGCGGCCGAGCAGCCGAAGGCAGCGCCATATCGAAGAGCGAGCGCAGCACCTTCATCATTCCAGGAAGACATTCGTCCGCGCGCGCAGGACATCGCGGAACTTGCGCAAGGAAGACATGCTGCACCCGCCGAAGGAGTGGATTTAAGCAGAAGCAGAATCACGCCATCGAACTTGGATCTCCCCGAAGCGAGACGCGACTCAACGCGGACTTGCCAGGCCCCCCACACCCCCGGAGGTCACGAGGCCATAGTTGCTGCAGCGAGGCGCGCGGTAGTGCCTGGGAACGAGGGGGGGCGGGGGCGGGCGCGATAGCGCGAACTGACATCGGCCGGACGCGCAGGAAAGAAAAGGAAGCGGCAGCATCCGTCAAGTGAAAATCCGCCCTGTCGCCGCCAACTAGGTAGCGCTGCAGCCGCCGACCTTCCGCTCGAGGAGCGCGCGAGCGCGCGCGCCGACCCCCCGGCGCGCCCCGGAGGGCGCGCGACGCAGGCGGGCGATGGAGCATGAAACGGCGGACCGAAAATATCGGGCTTTATCATGGCATGGCCAAGAACGCGAACAATATCATCTCGCGTTCCCCCCCCCCGCCCCCCCCCCCTCCGCGAGTCGGCGAAAATCCAAACAGCGGCGCCCCCGGGTTTGCAGGCGACCGCGGGACCTCGCCACTCGCGATGGCGACGTGCAATTCGCAAATTGCGCCGCGCGTCGCCAACGCGCAACCGGACGCATGCAACCCCGCCTGGATCAGTCGGGCACGAAGTTCCCGCGAGCTAACGCACGTGAAAGTCATCGCGATGCATGCGCCAAGATCGCCAGGGCCCGCCCGAGCATGGCCCGTCGGGACCTGTCTTCGGGGGCTGCCTTGAACCCCTCCCCCGATGATCCCCGGGCACCTCCGCAGATTCCCCCGGCGCTGGCGCGCGCGAGCCCCAGGGGATTTCACGCGGCCGAGAAGCGGGGGCGCCTCCGAAATTGCTTCCGGAGAGGGACGACTCATCCGCGTCATCATTCGTCGCCAAATCCCGCGCGCCCCCGCCCCCCTGCCCCCGTTAGAAATCTCCGCGCGGGTCTCCGGGATAAAGCGACCGAGCCCGGGCCCGCCCGCGCGAGGCATCGCGCCAGTGTCAGGGAGGCACTGCGAAGAGGGAAGGCAAGCCACGACGCTGCAGACCACATGGCCTCGGCGCGAACGAACACCACGCAACGAGACCACGCGCCAACGACGCTGCGCCAGAAGGGCCGCCGCCTTCTCACTGACCGGACGGCGACGACAATGGGGCCAGCTTCGCGCATGATTCGTCGCATTTCTGTTGGAGCAGTCGCCGCGCCCAGCGCCTCGTGGGAGTTCGCCTGAGTCTCCGGCCCCAGCTCTAGCGGGTCTTGATGCTGCCCGCGCTCGCGGATCCAATTCGGGATAGTCGCGCCATCTCCAGATGGTGGTCGGCCAACTTCGACAGCGACGAGGACAGGGGCGCGGTCAGGGATGCGAGCGCGATGGAGCCCCCTCAAACGTCGGGGCGCAACTCGCGAGGTCGGCAACGACGGCAGCGGGCAGCGAGGATTGGACGCGATCGAGGCGAGACGCGCGTGCGACGCAACCGCCCTGAAGCTCTCGACGCGTGTCATCTGTTTGAACGCCTTCCGTCCAATCGCTGCATTTCTGCTTGAAAGACCTAGCGAAACTAACCGCTCACATGGGGCCAACTGCCACCGTCAGGAAACATCCCCCTTCCCCCTCCAGCGCGAAGTCAATGCGACCAATCAAATAGAGCAGCGCTGGGATGAGGGGGGGCGGTGGATGATTGTGCCAGTCAGTGAATTCGGATAGACACTGAAAGTTTCGAGCGCGTTAGTCACGCGTGCATTCGCAATGTCGAGATTCTCTTCCAGGCCCATGACTCCACGAACAGTCGCGCTTCAATCGCGAATCACACGGTGGGCGATTGCGCAATCCTTACGAACAAGATCCTTAAACAGAAAAACTAAGCCGGGGACGCAAGCGGAGTCTGCAATCATCGCGCCCCAATGCCACGAAGCTCACTCATCAGGCAAGTAACGCAACAATGCCGCGGGTCTCCTGGGAACGCACAGCGTTGCACTTGCGACGCAGTCCCACGGAAGTCCGAAACCTCCGAGCGACGTTGCCATGACGACGAGCTTTCGATGCGCTGAATAGGCCACGAGCGTCCTAAGACACAACTGAAAGCGAGGGAGAAGGATGAAATTGCTGCTGGTGCACTGCAGTGTGGCCAGTGCGCAATGGCAGCAAACACTGAGCCGTCATCTGATCAGGCGGAAGGTTGCCACCCTCACTGTCAGAAACAGAAGAGGAGAAGGGTTAATCATACCCGCTGGCAGAGGAGCTTGCACGCGTCGAAATCAAATTCAAAAATAGCACGATCTGATTGGGCCTGTACCCCAGAGGCTGGAAGAGGTTGCGACGAAGGCGGAGACGAGCATTCTGTAAGACGCGTGCGACGTGGCGTCGACAAAGCTGGTCGCGTAACCCGTCGCCCGCGGCGCGAATTGACCCCATTGCTGCGTGAGCGCACACGGGACGTTCTAGACGTGCAGGCCGGTGTGGTTCGGCATCGGGACAATCCAGCAAAATGAACCGATGATACCCTTCGCGAACACGGGGACACAATTCGCGGTGCGAAAGAAGAGCTCGTTTTTGAAGCAATCGGCACCAATATTGTACTCATGTACAAATTATTGTCCGCAAGGTCTGCTCCATCAGAGCCCACATTTGAAAATTAAGGCGCTGTCTATGGCAAAGCCCATCTGGACTACCAATGCGAATGCGAAGAGGCTGGGGGGGTGTCGTCTCTGGCGTCCATCCATGTGAACTCGTTTTCCGAGAGCACGTTCTTCGAACGTCTTGCCAGCATCACCGTTGGAGAAACATAAAAAGAAGCTTTGACTGGTGTTTACGAATTCGGGATCCGCGACTGCTGTGAAGTGAGCAGGACCGGCGTGAAGCCGTTGTTGCCACGTCTGCTGGCAAATCTTGTCCCAAATTGCGCGAATCGACCTAAAATCTAACAGCCACCACTCACGATTATCATACATAGCTGAGGCCCTCGAAAGTCGCAGCCTCTTTGAACCTATGTTCGTTGACCCCGCGGTTGAAGCCAAGGTCACGAGACTCTCTCCAGCTTCTGCCTGTTTATCATCCAACTCGGCGAAGTGATCCTCAGTGGTCAACTTGACGTGTTTCTCCTTGCGAGATGGGGCTCACCAGCGTTTTGCCTTGCTGGAGTCGTGTACGTTTTGGGAAGAGTTCGCGACTGAGACGGTCATGAATGCCGCAAACCACGGAGGCGCCTCGGCTGACACTGCGCGCCGGAGTGTGAGAGATGTAGGGATGAAACGTCTCTCAGAACTGGGCCTTCGAAGGACAAGACACTGAGGCTGGTCTCTGGACATTTGAGCCGTCCCCACGACAACGTCCAAGTTCGAAGCGTTGGAAACCACGTTTCGAACTTGAGCCAAAATGGTTACGCATCGACGCGGACAATGATGTAGATGGGTGTCGAGGTCACTCTGACAGGCTTGCACAGCTTCAAGGAGCCACAGTGGAAACTCTGGTGAAGACCGCACCCACTGTGTACCAACGACAACTCGCAAACCTGTGGCCGAACACATCTCTTGATTCCGACATGCTGAATTGACATCTGCGTTTCTTCCCCACCCGCTTTGCACCCACGTCCCCTCTCCTCTCCTCTCCTCTCCTCCTCTCCTCCTCCTCCTCCTCCTCCTCCTCCTCCTTTTCCTCCTCCTTCTCCTCCTCCTCCTCCTGCTCCTCCTCCTCCTCCTCCTCTCCCATTCCCCGTCGGACCCGCACACGCACACATACACTACACACACCAGACACCACACCCTACAACCCCCGCGCGCATACACATACACACTCGCACACACACACACACACACACACACACACACACACACACACACACACACACACACACACACACACACACACACACACACACACACACACGCACACACGCACACACACACACACACACACGCCTGACAACACACCAGAGACATACACACATACGTATACACAAAAACACACGCACACTGCTACACCGCATGATTTACACGCGCGCGCTCGTGCACGGGGCGTGGAAGGCATTGCACGCAGGGGCCGGTTGCCGTAGAGCTTCAGGCTCGCAGCGCGTGGCTGGCAAGGCGTGCCAGGGGCGTGGCAGTGCCGTGCTACCTTCTCGACGCCGCAAGGGGTGCGCAGGGAGTGGTTACCCTATCCGCTTCGGGCCCGCAGGGCGCTGCAGGCGTGGCGCTCTCTCGACACCACGTGGGGTGCGCAGTCGACGTCCGACTTGAGGGGACGCTCCCTGGCAAGGGAATCGTGAAGTCTCCTCGGCACCAGAGAGAGTGCGCAAGGGGTGGCTCCAGAGCGCGGCCTCTATCTGTGACACGCTCGCAAGGCGTGGCAGGCGCAGCATCTCCTCGACGCCCGAGGGGGTGCGCGGGGGGTGGTCCACTCCTCGTCCTTTATCCCGAATCTTTCCGACTCCAAGCCTCTTTCGGCAACAGGCAGCGTGCACAGGGGGTCTCCCAAACCCCATGCGCAATGTGATGGTTGCATCAACACTGGAAGCATCAATATACACTGATAACGCTACTCCCTGGACCTCTCCCCGGGAGCGTTCTGACCAGAATCTCGAGGCGACTCCAGCCGTTGAGCCCAAAAAGGGGACAAAAAGTTCGTGGGTCGCGCGAATTCGAGCCTTGATGCCCTCGAAGTAGTGCATAGCGCCGGCGCTCTCGGCCGCCTCCGAGTGCTGCAACGCGATGGGCTCGGCGAACAGGCGCGTGCGCATCATGGCCGTGCGGAAGTCGGCCTCGGTCCGCTGCAGGGCCGCGTTGCGCATGGAGAGGCTGCGTCCCACGAGATGCGTGGCAACACTGGACGCGAGCGAGAGCACGAGACACAGCTGCCAGACCTGAGCGAGCAACTGCTGGGATGTTCTCGCAAGAATGCTGGAGGGTTATACTGGGCCAAATAAGGGGGGGCACTGAGCCTGATTAGCCTGGGTTACGCCAAGGGTTACGCAGGATTCGGCCGGTCTTCGACCACGCATATGCCAGCGCCGACGCTAAACTTAACCTCTCAGGAGTTGCATCCTAACAGACCGTGGGGCTGGGCGCCAATCGAACGAGCGCCGGGAAAAAGACCATCAGTCGGATCAGCGCGCCTGTGGCGCCAGAGAGCAGCGCCCGCGAGTTGCTGACGAAGATCGACGTGTCCTCCACGATCCGCTGGTCGAAATTGTCCAATGCCCCCGAACCTTGGTCCGCAAAGCGAACGTAATAGTATGACTTCATGCCCATCCACATGCCAACGAAATCCTGCGTGAGCTCCTCCCGCCAGCGGAGATCCCACAACGTGGTGAGGTAGCTGCCGTAGATGCTGCCTAGGGTGGAAGCCAGGGTGAGGGGGACGAAGTCCCAGAGCTGGTGGTGGAAGCCGACCACGTCCTTCGCCTGCAGCGTATTGAAGAAAGTGTTCTTCCACTGCGTCACTAAAAGATCCAAGTGCGTGGCGAAATAGGTTATCGACACGTCCACGGCGAGGAATGCGCACCCGACACCCAGCTGTCCTCCTGTGGGGGACAAAGGGTCACGATACCGCGACACCCCAGACCCCTCCCCAGGCGTGCTCTGACCAGACCTTCGAGGAGAATCCAGACGTTGTGACGAGGACTCTCCAGGACGAGCAGCGGCATTGGTACCCTTTCTTCCCCCGATCCTGGACGTACGCCAAAATGGCGCCACCAGTGCTCCCGCACCAGGCCAAGCAGGCCATCGTTCCACTGCGCGCCGTCGTCAGACGAAGAGACGTCCAGATCCCTCTCCGCATCCCGAAAGAGCGCCACCCGCGCGCCGTCGATGCGCGACCAGTGCCGGTGGCCGAGCTCGAACAGGACCACCGCGCCGACCGCGCCCGGGAGTGCGAGACGCACCGGGCCGACCAGGCTCGCAACGGCCGTGCTCGGCAGCGGGGCCTCAAGAGGAGGAAACGGCACCGCCACCGCGACCCTCGACTGTTGGGGCCTCCAGGGAGGCCCTCGTCGCCACGGCCGGAGTCGCCTCGAATGTTTTGACAGAGCGCATCCCAAGAGAGGTCCGCGGCGTAGGTGTGTCGGCAACGTTTTGCCCCCGCCAGAGCCAGCGGCAGCGGCGCCAGGAAGCTGCACAAGCACGCGAGCGCCTGCGCATCGCTTAACCGATACCTACTCCCACTGGCGTGGCCTTGGCCCCACTGGCCGACTTGCAGGTTGGGCTCTCTACGCCTGTCCCTTCGGGCTTCACTGAGCGTGGACTGGTAGGGCTGAGGTACCATGGCCCAGTGGGGCTCAGGATAGGTTAAACTTGGTTCCCCCTTTTTTCTTTCAAGATTCTGAGGGGCCCATTTACGCTTGCGTAAAAGAGGCGGGCGTATGCGGTCGCGAGGCGTGCAATCAGAGCATGCGAGGAGTTTGAGGCATGGCTGCAAAAGCCCACTTCGAGCTCTGGGTATGGTGGCCTTGGACGTGCCTCAACGGCCTCAGAGAGAAGGGGCCACTCAAAAGGAAAAGGGGGAACCCAAAAGGTTAGACGATGCTGCGCGCCAGGGTCGACCACGGGCACAGGGCCACCGTGTCTCCGTCGGCCGGCGCGGCGCCGAGGGACGCCAGGCAGCTCGCGGAGCCGAGGGCCACCACGGAGGCCGACGCGACGCCGCCGAAGGGTACCGAGCCGCCCGCCGCGGCGACCGCGGCCGTGTGGTGGAGCCCCAGCAGGAAGCTCCCCGCGACGGCGCCCGCGGCCACGGCCGGCGCGGGCCGCGGCTCCTGCAGCATGTGTCCGCAGGCATCCGCGCCTCGAGAGGGATTTGCGACCACACGTAAGAGTGGCCCTATCGGGGAGACGTAAGACCCGGGTACGGGGGACTCGGAAATCCCCGAGGAGGTCGTCAAAAAAATGACGAGGCCGAGCCTGCATTTTGACGAGGCCTCCCGCTGCAGACATCCCACGAAACTCCTCCTCGTCAAAATCCGAGTCGCGGTCGTCAAAAAACGATGGCGAACCCGAGTCCCGGCAAACCCAGGTCTTACGCTCCCCCGACCCTAGGCAAGGGTGACCGTTGGTGCGCGGGTTTGGGGGACCTCGAAGGGCCCAAATCCAAGCGCGCGGGCCAGTGCTGGGGCCACCCCTGTGCGCCCGCACCAAAGGTCACTCCGGCGACAGGTCACTCTTACGCGTAGTCGGTATTTTGCTGGGAGGCCTCCGCGGGAGCGATCCTGGGGCACGCCCCTCGTCGATCTCCGGGGATCCTAAACGCCGATCTCTGAGGATCCTGGAGTGCCCAAGGGCTTCTGTGGGTTCCAGGGGGCCCCCCAGGGAGAGGAAGCTTCAGGGGGGGGACCTGCTGCCAAGTCGGTTCCTTGCTTGCCGCGCCCACGCAGAGCCGGGCTGAGGGGCGATTCAGCAACGTTACACCGAATGTGTCCCAGGATGAAGCTGGACTGCGCGGGATCAGGCTGGATTGGGACGGGCTCCGACCACGGACATACCAGCGCCGATGCTGAATTTCAGCCGCCCAGGAGATGCAATCGAGCGCGCCGTGCTGGAGCAACGCTGCGGCCGCATGCGGCAGCGCGAGCAACGGGTAAGGCCGCTCCAGCACCGCCTTGGCGCCCTCCGCACCCAGGCTGGAAGAGGGCTTGCAGGGCGGCTCGAGCTCGTCCGCGGAAGGTGGCTGTGTGCTGGCGGACGAGGAGATGTCGGCCTTGCACAAGAATAGCTCTGGCGACCAATAGGTTTCCCAACTGCTGCCAGCAACGCCCTGCGGTCGAGACCCCAACGGAGCGGGCTGCGCCACGGCGCCAGCCCCCCGTGGCTGCTCCTGGTGGCAAGAATCGGCGGCGAGCGAGGGGGGGGAGTGAGAAGGAGAAGACCCTCTCGGAAGGCGGCGAGGCTTCTCAGACGGCCTCCGGCCTTTTGAAAGGTCTTCTGCGCCTTCGGGGTAGGCTTAGACAACTTCTCGGAAGGCCAAGAGACTCCCGAGCCCTCTTAGAAGGCCCGCCCCTTCCGACTCCCCCCAGGAGCTCGCCGCCGAAAGCAACGGGTCCTGAAGGGAAACGGGTCCATGGACCGCGGGGCTTTTTGAGCGTACCCTTCGGCTGCCCCCCCGGCGGCCCAGGCTCGGCCCCCGAAGGCTGGAAAGCAGGGAACCGCCGCAGAGAAAAATCACAGCGGCGTGAGCATAAACCGTGGGAGGTCCGCGCGGAGTTCTTGGAAGGGGCCCCAGGACACACACATAGATACACACAAACAAAATAATTCCCAATATTTTCCCATATTTCCTGGCTTTTTGTCTTCCCCCCCACTTCCCATATTTTCCCATATTTTCCTGGGAATCGACGATTAATTGTGTCCGTGTGTTTCTTTCCCTCCTGATTCTTGGATCGGCGCTGGACCTCCCCTCGCTGGCGCGCAGCGCGCCAATGGGCGGCGCCGATCCAAGGAAAATCCGCCCGGAGCTCCGACGGTTCATGTTTCCGCCGTTGTCTCCGGCTCGGCTTCCCTCCGCTAGGGCTCCCAACTTCGCGCTTCGCGCTCCGCGAAGCGCGAAGCGCGAATAACTTCGCGCCCTCGCGCCGCCCCCCCAAGGGGGAGAAGAGGAGGACGAGGAGGAGGGGGAGGAGGAACGAGGACCGCGAAGCGCGAAGCGCGAATAACTTCGCGCCCTCCTGGGAGCCCTTGCATCCCCATTGGCATGGCCTTGGCCCCAGTTGCCGATGTGCTCCCCTGGATCCGGATGTGTGCTGCCCCCTCTGGGCTTCTCGGGGCATGGCTCCACCTGGGGGGATGGGCTGGTGGGCTGAGCTACTGTGGCCCTGTGTCGATGGGGATCGGTAACTGTTGTCGTCGGCGGCGAGGCAGAGTTCGGCTGCACCAGCGATCGAGCCAAATAGGGGCACCGAGAAGCGAATTGGCCAGCGTGCAAGAGCGGGAAGAGGGCAGAGGGGGCGGCCGCGGAGGGGGAGGAAGGACAGGCCATTCATGGAGATCGGAAACATGATGCCTGGAAGTCCCGATCCTTTCCCCAAGGCGGGCTTTTCACCCCGCGTCGTTGCTTGCTGGCCCAGGGGCCTGGCGCAGGCCCCCAGAGGCCGATCACGATCAGAAACCCCTCGTCGCGTTTCTTCCTCACGACGCGAGCATGTCTGGGTCAAGACCCCCTCTCGGGCCGGGCCGGGCGAAAGGGGGGGATAGCAAAGAGGGGGGGGGTGAGAATCAGCTCACGCAGCTGATTCTCCCAGCGCCTCCCGGCGCCGGAGGCGGCCATGTATCGAGGACTGGGCCTCTCGGTGGGGCTGAAACCGGCTGCGTGCCGCAGATCTCGTAGCCCACCCTTCCCCTATCCCCTCCTTTCGTTCGGCCCGACCCTCTACAGTCGGGGCGTTGACCTCAGGAACCCAAAGTAAGGAACGAGGCCCCTTTTTGTCCATGAGTGAAGCTTCGATGCCCGATCGAAGACAAAAGGAAAACCAGAGGCAAGCCGCGACACACTTCAGGAGCGCGGAGCCCCTCCCCGACGAAGAGGGTTCCTTCTTCAGTGATGGGCGTGTTTTCCACCACCACCACCATAAGTTGGAGGGAGGGTCCTCCTCCTCCTCCTCCTCCTCCTCCTCCTCCTCCTCCTCCTCCTCCTCCTCCTCCTCCTCCTCCTCTCCCCTCCTCCTCCTCCTCCTCCTCCTCCTCCTCCCCTCCTCCCCTCCTCCTCCTCCTCCTCCTCCTCCTCCTTCCCCCCTCCAACTTCTGGTGGTGGTGGTGGTCGTGGAAAACAAGCCCATCATTCAGGGCCCCGACTGCACCCCGCGCCGCTCCTGCTTCGCCCGCGCCGCGAGCCGCGCCGTCCGCCGCCGCAGCTGCGCGGCGGCGGGCGACGGCTCCCACCCGAGCAGCACGGCCGCGGGCATTCCCCCCGCGCGCGAGCCGTCCGGGGCGCGCCGGGCCGCCCCGGACAGCTCGACCGGACAGGCAGCTGGGCAGCGGAAGGCCCCCCAGGCAGAGCACGGCTGGGCAACGAGGCCTCCGACCTCCTCCTCCTCCTCCTCCTCCTCCTCCTCCTCCTCCTCCTCCTCCGCCTCCTCCGCCTCCTCCGCCTCCTCCGCCTCCTCCGCCTCCTCCGCCTCCTCCGCCTCCTCCGCCTCCTCCGCCTCCTCCTCCTTCTTTGGACGCCCGAAACGGGCACCCAAAGAATGGGTACAATGCCCAACAGCACATGCTGTTGTCCCAAAGCCAACAGCGGCCACTGTTGGGCAGGCGGCCTTCTGTCTGGAATGGACACAGGGCGCAGCGGCGTGGACTGCGAATCCTGTTTCAAAATAAACAGGAACTGCTGTTGGGCATTGTACCCATTCTTTCCGTACCCATTTCGGGCGTCCAGAGCTTTGGGGGCTCGTGCCCGGCCAGGGGACCACCCAAAATGGGCCCAGGGCGGAAACCTCCCCCGGGGAAGGGGTCGGGACGTCCGGGGACCCCACAAGGGAACTCTCCTGGCGAAGGGCCCGACCAGATGCAGTTGTGAGTACCGTCGTTGCGGGTATCGCCTTCGGGGGGATCTCCTCACTGGGGCCACGAAGCATGCGAAGGGTGTGCCGATATGGGGCGGGGCCGCCGCGTGGGCGCTGCCACTGGGGCTCTCGGTGGAACCCACTGTGGGCCCGCAAAACGTGTGAGAGGTGCGCCGCAATGGGACGGGGCCGCCACTGGGGCCTTCGGTGGAGCTCCCCATGGGGCCACGAAACGCTATGCTGGGTGGGGGAACCGCATGCGGAAACCGCAACTGAGGCCTTCGGTGGGGCTCTCTATGAAGCCACGAAGCGCTGTACTGGGTGGGGGCGACGCATGCGAACGCCGCCGCTGAGGCCTTCGGTGGAACTCCGAACGTGCGAGGGTTGTGCAGGGGCAGATGCACGGAGGGGGAAGGAGGAAGGAGGGGCAGGAGGAACGAGGACACGCGGGGCGCTGTCTCTTCGACGCGAGGACCCCACACCACTGGATGGTTTGGGGAAACAACGGCACTCTCTCGGCGTCCTCGGGGAAGGCTCAGACAACTTCTCATAAGGCCGAGGGACTGCCGCCCCTCTGCCACATGCGAACCCTCCTCCTCCTCCTCCTGCTCCTCCACCTCCTCCTCGTTCTCCTCCTCCTCCTCCTTCTCCTCCTCCTCCATCTCCTCCTCCTCCTCCTCCTCCTCCTCCTCCTCCTCCTCCTCCTCCTCCTCCTCCTCCCCCCGGGCTCGCCGCCGACTTCACTCTCGCCGCCGGCTTTCGCCGGCGGAGCGGTTGCCGTCGCCCGCCTGCCGGCCTCGAGGCTGAGGTGCGCCGAGGGAGGCCCTCCCCAGAACGTCCCACAGGGGTACCAGGGCATGGCAGCTCGGAGTCAGGAAGTTCAGTCCAGCGCGCACCTCAGCCTCGTGAGCTTCAGCGCGATTTTGACAAGTCAGCACGTCAGCGAGAACCGTCTCCGACGTTCACGGCGTCCCACAACCTTCCGCATAACATTGAGAGTGCGCTCGTGCCTTGGAAGTGAACTCTCGTTCCGATTTAGACCTCTGGGCACTTCCGAGTATATACATATATGTATAGATATATATATATATATAGATATACGAACCACACCAGATCTCTAGGCGACGGCAGCCTGGAAATAACCCTTTTACGCGTGTTCCTCACTGCAGCAAACTGCGGTCGGAAACGTTTGCTTAGCATGTCGCGGCGGCGGCCCCGGCGGCTCTGCCGTGCAAGCGGACAACTTGTCGCCCCCATCCGGAGGGCAGAAGGCTCGGAAACGCTCGGGACGTTTGACGCTCGGCAGTGGGAAGTGGTTAGCGTGTCGCGCCGAAACGCGATGGACTAGAACCAGCGACGCGACATGCCAAGCCCGAATTCCCGACCCGGGACCGTAGACACCTCTGCCCGAGACCCCAACTTCAGCGCGCACCGTCATGTCTGGGCCTCGGTCACTCCCTCTGCGGCAGAAGGCGACCATGAGTAGCAATTACATTCAAGCGCTATGGTACTCCTGTCCGCGCCAACTGGCAAGGCATCTGCCGAGGGGGCGACTATTTTGTACAACCCCCTCCTCGTACTCTTTCCTACTCGCGGCCAGTTGCGACACCCCACAAGCCTCCAATGCACCAGCACGGCCCCAGACATCCACACGAGACCCCCAAGGCGGTATGTCTTTGGGGTCTCATATGTGCGATCCACGAGACAGCCCAGCAGGCTTCCGAGAAGGCAGGGAGCGCTCCCATCACACCCTCAAGAAACACTGTCAAGAAGGCCCGCAAGATGGGCGAGTCGACGTGCGAGGAGACGCCAAAAGCTCCCAGAGGCTCCCCAAACTTCCTGGAGAAGCTTCCAAGAGGGGCGCCTCAGAAGTTCCCCGATGACCTAGGTTCGGGTCCTCACCCTCACCCTTCTCATGAATCCTCCTCTTCATCGTCGTCCTCCTCCCCCTCCTCCTCCTACTTTCTTCTTCCTCCTCCTCCTCCTTCTCCTCCTTACTTTTCTCGATTCCTTTCACATCATCATCATCCCCCTCTCTCCCCTCATCATCCGACTCTCATCATCATCATCATCATCATCATCATCATCATCATCAGCATCATCATCATCATCATCATCATCATCATCATCATCATCATCATCATCATCATCATCATCATCATCATATTCATATTCATATTCATATTCAGATTCAGATTCATACTCATCATCATGATCAGCATCATCATCATCACCGTCAGCATCATCATAACCATCATCAACATCATCACCATCATCATCATCATCAGCATCATCAGCATCATCATAATCGGCATGGCCAACATCATCACCATCACCATCATCGTTGTCATCAGCATCATTGTCATCATCACCATCACCATCATCTGCATCATTGGCATCACCATCGTCAGCAGCAGCAGCATTAACTCATCGTCATCACCACCACTTCCATCACCACCAACATCATCATCCTCATCATCATCATCATCATCATCATCATCATCACCAGCATCATCACCATCATCATCATCATCAGCAGCATGAGCATCAACAAAATCTCATTATCATCATCACGCTCATCCCCATCCTAATCATCATCCTCATCCTCGTCGTCGTCGTCAAAGTCGACGTCGTCATCATCATAAACATCATTATCATCCGCCTTATCACATTCCCCCTTCTCATTATGATCATCACTATCATCTGCATCATCCTCATCCTCACCATCCCGACCACCGTCACCATCACCATCGAATTCATCATCATCATCATCATCACCACCATCATCATCATCATCATCATCATCATCATCATCATCATCATCATCACCACAAGCATCATCAATAGCATCATTATCATCACAATCACCATCACCATCACCATCATCATCGTAATCACCATCATCATCACCATCACCATCACCATCACCATCACCATCATCATCATCATCAGCATCATCATCAGCATCCTCATCATCACCATCATCATCGTAATCCTCATCCTATTGATCATCCTCCTCACTACTATCTACCCCTGCAACGGTCATCATCCTCATCCTCATCCTCATCCTCATCCTCATCCTCATCATCATCATCATCATCATCATCATCTGCATCATCATCAGCATCCTCATCATCACCATCATCATCGTAATCCTCATCCTATTGATCATCCTCCTCACTACTATCTACCCCTGCAACGGTCATCATCCTCATCCTCATCCTCATCCTCATCCTCGTCCTCGTCCTCGTCCTCATCCTCATCCTCATCCTCATCCTCATCCTCATCCTCATCCTCATCCTCATCCTCATCCTCATCCTCATCCTCATCCTCATCCTCATCCTCATCATCATCATCATCATCATCATCATCATCATCATCATCATCATCATCATCTTCATCATCATCATCATCATCATCATCATTCCTTCCTCTCCTCTCCCTGGCCCGCTCATCACCTCCTGCGCATCACCACCCCCGGCGACGCGCGGCGGCCGGCGCTTTTTCAGCGGCGCCGGTCGCGCCGTGCGCGGCAGGCCCGCACGCGGCACCAGCCAGCAGCCTGGGGGCGGGGGACAGGAGCAACCGACATCGACTTGGGAGACTGGATCGGATCGGAATCGGGCCGCATCGACACGGAGTCGAAATCGAGTCGAGGAGGAGGAGGAGGAGGAGGAGGAGGAGGAGGAGGAGGAGGAGGAGGAGGAGGAGGAGGAGGAGAAAGGGGGGGAGGAGGAGGAGGAGGAGGAGGAGGAGGAGGAGGAGGAGGAGGAGGAGGAGGAGGAGGAGGAGGAGGAGGAGGAGGATGCACAATAGCTCCATGCAAGCATCGGGTCGCAGCGGATCGTCCGGCATCGGAATCGAATCGAATCGGGCCAGCCGGGGCCGATGTCGAACTGGATCGATCGGATCAAAATGGACTCTGGGGAGCCAGCGCTCGAGAGACGGGTCTGGAAAGGGGAGACTCGGCTAGATCTTTCGCTGCCTTCTGACGTTCACTGCGCCATCTGGTGTGTCGCTGGGGAGGACGGTGCGGAGCTTGTTCAAACGAGTGAGCCTGGAGAGCCGTCGTTGGTCTTTCTCAAGACTAGAGGAGCTGCACTATTTTCAACGGGTGAATGTCATCACGCCAGTGTCATTGTTTGCGCCATCGTAGCTCGACCGCACCTGATCGGGGCGTGCAGAGCCCGGCAGCACCTGCGTCCCGATGCCCACGACCGTGCTTTGAACGTGCTGCCTGGCTGGGGCTTAGCCATAGTTCGGGGACGTCAGGCAGTGTGGGGGGGGGGGCCTCTGAGATCCGAGCCGGAGACGGAGCCAGTCCGCGCCGGATCGGCTCGAGACTTCGGGTGTCGCCAGAAGTGCCCCTGGCCCAAGGTGCCCCCAGCCTTTTTCGCTCCATC